CGGGGAGTTGTTCCTGAGGGCAAGGTTCTCCTGGCTCCCTACGCTGACGCCTATCAAGGGCTACCGGAGCGACCACACGTGGAATAGTGAGTCGGGCTTCTTCCCCGTCTCTCCTTTTCTTCCCAAGTAAAACCGGCAGAAGCGACCGAGTCGTGAATGGACGTGAAAAGCGTCAATACTTACTGTACGTACATGTAGGCTGCTCGTCAGGAAGGTTAGCCAGCGTTGCGGCAGATGTTGACCGTTACGCGCCTCGAAATCCTGGCCGGGCGTGCTAGGAAAGCACCCGAGACCCCTGACCCGGATGCGAACTGGTGGCTCTCGCTTGGCGAAATCCCTGTTCAGTGATCTTGCACATCCCGTGGCAGAATAAAACGCTCCTGCCGCGCTGGAACGCCTTTCTCTCCCTTCTTCTCCCTCCAATACCCTACCCTGAGGATCGTGGTTGCCCAATCTGAGACCTCCCGTGAGCTTAAGTTTCGACTGCTGTGCGACTTTTGTGGCCTTCGACAAGTTTCCTTGGCCCCTGTTCAACCACCCCCCTGCTTCAATCCCGGCCACCTAACGCCCCCAAACTATCTGAACCAACGCGTGACGACGACGACGGGAAAATCGGTTTGTTCGGAAACCAGTGAAAATTTCAACTTTTCGCGCACTTCCCTCCTTACCCAACAACGCTCCATTCCCCCAACTTGTTCGGTAAACTAGTCTGAGGGCTCGACGATCGAAGGTGCGTTTGTTGACGGGGGTTTCGCCATTATTGACTACCTCGGGCGCGACTGACCTTGTTCCTCAATTGTTTAGTTTTCGAACGTTTCGACGAGACTTTTCGAGGCAAGTTTTCCCAAACTCTATTTTCGCCGACATCGTCCACCACTGTCATCGAAGAGCCAGCGGATCGGAGCGGCACGACACCTTTCAGCCCGATCCCCAATTGACGGCTTGCCGTTGTTATCCTCCACACCCGGCTCGCATCGCATTAGCCTGCATACAATATCACGCCTCGGGGACCACAAGCCATACATAAACATACACGTACTGTACGGGGGGGAGAGAGCTAACTCTCGAGATGAACTAGACTCCGTTGACAGGACTTATCGAGACAAACAAGTGACGTCCGTGAGGGCTCGCGATCGCACAAAGGGACTCAGAAGGTACGAATCACCATTTTCACACACTGCACATTTTTTTCCCCCAGAGTTTGTTCAAGATGCTGGAGACGTGGGAATTCGCTGGGTCAAACCCACCTTCCGGAGCTCGTTTCGACAGGTTCCGCTTTGAAGAGGCCGAATTGTCTGAGCAACCCGGACATTTCGTGCACAGCAACCTCGTCGAGCTTGTCTCACTCGGCGCCACGCGACTTGAATTGAGCGCGGATTTTTTTTATACAGGCGCATCTATTTTCAGGTTTCCATGGGGAATGTGCAATTAGCTTCCAGACGCTCCGTCATTCGGTGCCTATCACGGCGCATCGCGCAAGCAAATGAGCGAAGCTTTTCCGCAGCACAGTTCGGGAGCCCGACCAGGGGTCTGGTGCGACCCCAGCGCGGTCCCGTTTCAATTTCGGCAATGTTCCACCCTCTACCCTAGTCCCGTTGTGGTATCGCATGAGAGCTGGAAATTTCACACCCTGTCTGGCTTGCGAATGCGGGACCACTTGCCGTTGCCTTTTCCCTTTCGTCGGAAGTTGATTATGGAATCCATCCATGATTTCCCCCCCTTCCTTCCTTTAAGCTGACCATTTCTTGCATCTTCCGCTCGCAGTCAACCGTTGCGCACACTCGATTTTTATTTCACCATACACTCGATACCATCACGCCAAACCAGTTCGATCCCATCGCGTCGCAAACCCGGCAAGAGAAGGATCGCGGTTCCCCGACGGTTTTATACCTGTGAGTTGATCTTTTTCATTGTATTTTCCCCGATTCATGCACTCCGTGCGCCGCATGGAGTCGCTCGACCCTTTTGCGCCCTGCATCACAATCATCGGGTTGTGGCGGGGCGCACGGGTCCCGGCAGAAACCTGGTTTGCTCTCCGCTTCGCGCGGCGATGACCCTGAAGTTGATTCATGAAGGGCGGCAGCTTCGTCAAGTCCCACGGGCCGTCGGCCCCTAAAACAGAGTTCAAGCGGCCCGGCATTGTTATTTTGCATCGGCTTGCCCTTTTGTTATCTTGTGCTCAAACACGCACATCATATTTTGATTCGAGGCTAACATTATGGCATGCGCCTAAAGGCAACCTATCCGCGCATCGAACTATCTAGCCACGACTTCTCCTTGGAGAGAGTATGGGACTGATGACCATGGCTCAGCACCGGCAGGCGCCCCGCCAATTCAAGGAAGAGCCCGGTCATGACTCGGTTAGTTCGATTCTCCTTTTATATTTTCCCTCTTCGCCGTCCGACACTCCACCTGTCGCCGGACGTTCCGTCATCACTGGGTCATCGGTCAATGCGGCAGTCCTGCAGCGCTGGAAGACTTCTACAACGTTGAACATTTCGCGTCCGTAAATGCATGCTCGTTAGGGTGGGATAAGTTTATCTCGAAGAGCCCGGCAAATGCGACGATAGATCGAAATCAGCACTCCAGGCCCCCATGTTCCCGCATTCGCGATCCCCAATCCGCTCAATACCCCGGCCTTTCTTCGCAATTGTTCCAGAAAACTGGCCGACCGCTGCTGCATCCTTGGCTGGCCGGGGGATGGATGCTGCTGGGAATTGCAGGGGGCGACCTGTTTCACCAACAGCCAGACTTGGGGGGGGGGGGCATGCGACAGGGGGCAACGCCGGGGCTTGCAGCGCGCTTCCGCCCCGTTCATTCAGCGGCCGACAACCCCATGCAGTTGCTCTCTGTTGCGTCGCATCCACCCCAGCGTTGCCCGCAGCCCGTTGCAGGAGAATTTCTCAACCCTGGCAGGTTCATCATGTTCACACGCCAGCGCCGTGGTCACGATCAACAACAACAACAACAACAATTCTTAATGTTCTTTTTGTCGTCCGTTCCAGGTCGGTCACGCCAGTCAGTCACTGGCATGGGTAGCTGCGCAAACGGCGAGCAGGCTGACATGTCTCAACGGCCAAGCGGCCTGGGGTTTGCTTGTCTCTGTCTCCACCCCACGCGCTTCCCTCTCCACCGCCCATGAGTGCCGGCGAAGCGACAGGGATAGGAAAACGCGGTTTAGCGATCGGCCTACCGAGCATCGCGGTTTATCCTCTCTCGCTGTTGTGCCCGTCACGAGACTTCTGTTCCCGAAGAGTCGCTGCTAGCGCGGTGACGACACTCGTGCGACCGTTTCGCCGCGTTTGAGTGAATCTTGGGGGACAAAAGTCATACTTGGCACTTGAGCTCCGCGAGGGTCAGTCGCCAAAAGTTTGTTAGTGGGACCGGAAGGCGAGAACCAGGGCCTGATGGGGCGGGTTCGCGCCCCCCGAACGCGCAGCGGGTGGGGCCGCTAAAGCAGCACTTTGACGCCTGTCCACCGCTCGGCCGGAGTCCACAAGCCAAATGTCAGTCAGTTTTGTCAGGAGCATGACCCTCGCTCCGCCATCTCCTTCCCAGCTGCGAGTTGCTGCCAGTGCAGATGCCGCAGATGCCGTTCCGAGCGGGCGCAGCGGCGCGAACGGGAAAGCAATGTCCTCTCTGAGGAAATGCGGCAAGATGCAAGATGAGAACCCTGGCCCATAACACGTGATCCAGACATACAAGATTCCCCAAGCGGCGTTTCAAGCGAACACCACCAGCTTGGCAGAATGAGTGCGTTCGGAGCAGCATTCCTGGTCATGACGGGGGGCCGCGCGGGACTTGGAGAACCGACTATCGGGAAAGCCTGGCAAGTGCAAGGATTGGGCACAAGGATTGGCTGCGTTTGGACCCGTTTCCTCACCGCCCTTGTCCCTGTCGAAGGGAGAATGGGAGAGCACAGGAGATGAGTGGCAGATGACAGACTGGAGCTGCCAGGAAACCACCCAGAAGCTCGCCGTTTCAGTGGCTAGCCTCGGGTGGCCATTCCTTGTTTGGCAAGAGTCATGCTCCCTGGCCATTCGACCGCGTCGTCATTGGCCACTTCATCAACATGCATCTCGCCCCCTTCCCTCGTTTTCCCACCCCTGCTGCTCCGGGCCCCTTGGAGCGGTTGTGCCACCCTGGTCCCCGTCGCACTTGGCGCGCTGCCGCCATCCCTGGACAATCTGCTCCATTTTGCTGGGAAGCTTGGGCGTTGCTTGTTGGTGTTCACCCCCGGGCATCCCAGCCTGCATGGCAGAGAGCGTCTGGTTGAACCCACCACAAAAAGCGCGCCTCCCGTCTCTCCCCCAGCTGCCTGGGTATATCAGACTCGGCAGCCAGGCATTATCACTCTTTTCTACCCCTTGCCCGCGTGCCTGCAAGCATTCCATCAGCATCTTCACATCCTTCTCCAGCAGAGGCTTTCCTCTCCATCCTCGACCCTTCTGGGTGTGTTTTGATAATCGTTTACGACTGCTTCGCTGCGGAGTTGCATATTCGGTTAGTTACCCTGCTCCCGCCGTCCCGCGTTTTTTTTTTCTTGGGCTGCCTCGGAGCAAAGTTGCTCTCAGCTGGTGTACGGCCCCGATCAAGTCCATGATCGGTTTCGTGTTTGTCAATGAGGAAAAGTCAGAGCAACATCGTTCAGGTTGGGGAATCTCGAAATCTCGGGAGAGAAACCCGAGCCATTTCAATGCTCAGCTTCCATTGGTAGTCGTTGACTTCCCCTGCTTCTCCTCCCCTCTAATCGTCGGGCTCGGAGACCGCGTGGACACAAGGCCTGTCCGACCAAAATCCTACCCCAAGTTCCCGAGGCTGACCCGCCTCGCCCGTGGGTCCCTCATCTTTTTCTCCAGGGGACCGCTTGCAGCCCCCCGGCCCCCCTAGTCCTTGTGCGCGCTTGGGAAGAAAAGCCATAACATCCCCAGACGCGTCCACAACGCCCTTGACCACATGGTTTTGTTTCTCATGAGAACCCTGCAGCAACAACAGGACTAATGGTTGTCTCCTCTATGCAGCATCACACCCACCATCAACAACAGGGTTCCGTCCCACCGCATCTTCAACAACATTCTCGACCCTCGAGCGTTGTCCATCAGCAACATCATAGCCAGGCCTCGGCACAGCAACCGCCTCCGCAACAGACTCAGCATTCAAGCGCGTACGCGTACCCCCAGCAGAACCAGAGCAGCAACTCTCAAGAACACGGCCTGCCCTATTACGCGCAAGCGAGTCCATACAGCACACCGGGTGCGACAAGCGGATACACGTCCGCAGGTGCGTTTTTTACCCTCTATCCATCAATGCCTACGTCGAGGCCAGGGTGGTGCCGAGGGAAATAGTGGAAGACTAACGCGTATTTCTCTGATTAGACACCGGAGACATGATGGCCGCCACCATGCAACGGCCTCCTTACCCCCCGATCCAGTACCATACTCCGCAATCGAACTCGCCTGCTTCGGTGGCGTCGCCTTCGGCCCATGACCAACAGCGGAGCATGTATGCGCAGCCTCCGTCGCAGCTGCAGCACCAGTCGATGTACTATGGAGCGCCTCAGCAACAGTACTCCTCCATGCCGGCTCAGGCTGCGCAATCCCCGTACGCGCAACATGCGCAACAGCCTCATCAATCCATGGGCTCCCAGCCGGGCATGATGATGTCGCACACGCCGCCCCAACATTCTATTAACCAGCATCCCAGCCAGCACCCGCAGCAAGGCATGACGGTCAGCCCGCGCCCGGATAAGATTGAGACACACGGCCTCAACCATCGGATATCAGCGACTTCCGCTCCAGTTGCCATGAACAGTGCGTCGTCGGCCAGCCCCCAGAATGGCGCGCCGCTCTCAACGCCGACTACCGCGTCTGGCGTCAACCCGAACGCGGCCCCTGGCCCGATTCCGGCGACCACACCTCTTGTCGTGAGGCAGGATACCAACGGAGTTCAATGGATTGCCTTTGAGTATTCCCGCGACCGCGTCAAGATGGAGTACACCATCCGCTGCGATGTCGAATCGGTCAACCAAGACGAGCTATCCGCCGAGTTCAAGACCGAGAACTGTGTCTACCCTCGCGCATGCTGCCCGAAGGACCAGTACCGCGGCAACCGGCTGCAGTACGAGACTGAGTGCAACTCGGTCGGTTGGGCCCTGGCGCAACTTAACCCACCACTTCGCGGGAAGCGTGGCCTGATTCAACGCGCCGTCGACAGCTGGCGTAACAGCAACCAGGACCCCCGGCTGAGGAGCCGTCGCGTCCGTCGCATGGCGAAGATGAACTACCGGAACCCCAAGACCGGCTCTACAACGCCTCATGCCACCCACATGCCTGCCGGGCCAGGAGGCCCAGGCTCTACCGGCATGACTACCCCCACCGGTATGACCGCCGGCAACAACCCGGCCATGGGGAAGCCGGTATTGAACAACATGACCGCGCAAATGCACCACCACCACAGTGGGCAACAAGATGGGAGCGCACCTGGAGGAGATGAAGTCGGTATGTTTCACCAGATGGCCTGAAACGCGCGCGTTTTGTTGTGATTAAGTGTGATACCTCATCGAGCCAAGCCGTCTTTTTTAGTCATGCGCTTTTCTACTATTCTTTTTTATTTTTCATTTTCTCACATTTTTCTGTTTCGGTCATGTTTTGGAATTTCCTGGGAAATACTCGCTTGCCCCCTTCTTATCCTGTTATATACCGGCTCGCGACCACTCGGTTTTCGCGCACTGTTTCCCTGGGGCAACGTCAGGGACGGTACAAAAAGAAAGAACTGTACATTACACTTAGTCGCGTTTGCTGTTAGTTTGTTTTGCTGGTTTTCGGTCGTCGTTCAGTCGTTCGGGCTGGCTGGCTGCTGGCTGCTGGCAGAACGCTTGTGTCGCATTGCATTTACTTGCTTTGCACCAAGCACACCTCCAACACAGCATCGCTCATCACATATCAAGCAGCACCTACCTGCATCCACACAACGCACCACATTCTGCCCGAGCGTCGTTGACAGGAAAGCCTGATTGAGATAAATGATGGCGCCTCGAGATGCTTTTGCCTTGTATTCGCCTGCGTTGCTTCGAGATTATGCGAGTTGCTGCTCTTGCCGCGCGCTGTGTTTTCCGCCTGGCTCTTGATGAAAGTATCACACTTGACATGACATGAACTGCATTCGTTGACAATAGCCTTACCCTAAACTGGAGGATACCCTCCTCCCCCCTCACCCTTGTCTTTCACGAGACGACAGGAAGTAACCACTGACACATAATGTCTTCATCTACTTTAGGAGACGGAGACTACTCGGACGATCAGCAGCATCACCACCACCATCAGCAACCGTCCGCGCAAGGTGGCAGTGGTACTCAGGACCGTCCGACCCAGGTTTTCACCGGCTATGGATCCTACAGCGGCGCGCCGCATGGCTCATCGATGCCCTCCATCCATGACACCTTGGGCGATGCCCCCCATGGCGGCAGCATGGCCCCTCGCCGTTTGAGCGCTTCCCGTAACCTCCCGGACGGACCTGAAGATCTCTTCCCGGATATCCCTGAGGCCAAGAAGCGCAAGTTCATTCTTGTTGAGGACAGTGACCGGCAGAGCCGCCTGCGCGTGCGCGTCACACTCGATGGTGTCGACACTCGTGAGATTCCGGACAGCTTCCGCAAGAGTAGCAGTGTTTACCAGCGCTCCTACTTTCCCCGGGAGATGCAGAGCCCCCCGCCTAGCGCCACTGGCAGTAAGTTCTTTGGCGACGACATTAGTGACATCGAGGACAACGGCACGACTGATACCGAAGGTCGCCGTGCGGGCCGCGGTGGAGGCGCCTCGCGACGGGGCCACTCCATGGTTAAGGTTCCTATGCCCGGCGGCCAAGAGACGGAGGTAGCCATCCCTCGCATGCGTCGGGCGTTCCGCGGCAAGGAGGTCCGACTGAATGATTTGGGCTACCGCATGGCCTGGCTCCAGAGCCGTGTGTTTGCGGGCCGTACAGTATTTTTGCAACGAGCCCGTGAGTTTTCCCCGTCCATCCTTACCCAGGCCTTATTGTCTACACTTTGATCCCGGGTCATGATACTGACATTATGGGTCTTCCTCCCACGGCAGTGGACTCGTACCGTAACAAAACCCGCAGTGCTATGGAGAGCGTTGCCCAGGACGTCAAGATCGCCGCACCTCACTACGAGACGCGAGTCGGCAAGCGCAAGTTCACCGATCGCATGCGTCTCGGCGAGGATAAGGACGAGTAGGGTAGGAGAGAAATTTCCCCTTCTATGGCTCCGCCCATATCAAGGTTCAAAGTCAGCATCCCGCTGGCTGAGTAGGTGGCCCAGCTAAGTTCGACAACGATACAGAGGGCTGCCTGGCAGTCTGACGGTTCGTTGATTGACTGCCGTGTGAAAACTGAGGAAGGGACGAACGATTCATGACAACGTCGGAGGTAATCATCGTTCAATCTCAGTAGGCGGCCATTTGTGAAATTGTCTTTTTTTTTTTTTTTCTTCTTGTTTGTGATGTTTTTGGTCTCAGTCAGGTTGGTGAGGCCCCAGTCTCATAATGCCAGCGGCCGCGACCGTGACGATCACGGAGGCGGCAACAGGACCCAAGTCTGCTTTTGTTTTCGAGGTATCTTTTTTATTTTCCTGCTTTTTTTTTTCCATTCCTCTTGCCATTGTCGGATCTCGGTGGGCGGCGGTTTCGCAGACCCGAACCAATTCTACTGTATAGAGAGAGAACTTGGCATCACTGCCGGAGTATTCAAAGGGGGAACAAACAACAAACAACAATGTCAGGAGAGAAAATGGGCGCTGTAGGTCTAGGATTCTGTTAAATAGGGAACATGTCAGAAAAGTCTTGTCAATACAAGGGTAAAAATTAGGTAGATTGATTGTTCCTTTGGTGTGGTGTGATGTGCTATGTCGGCGATCTGAATCGTCCTACGACCTCGCTCTCCCGTTCCTCCCCTCTCTACATCACACTTACCTACTTCCCCTGAAGCCATCTTCCCAACGCCGCCGGATCGGCCGCGTTCTCCCAGTGCTCAACCGCCCTTCCCGTCCCATCAAACCGCCACACCCCGCAAAACGCCATCTCAATCTCCCCTTCTTTCCTCCCCTTTCCCTCGCAGCACCTTTCGCTAGTTTCTTCGCCAGGCCCCTTATTATCATCACTCCCAATCAACCTCCCCTCCAAAACCCCCAACACAACCCCAAACACCCCCCTCCCATCAACCTGTATGCTCTCCGGCCGAAACACCAACTTCCCACCGCGTGCTGCCGCGGCCTTGACGAGGGATTCCTCGTGCTGTTGGGCTGCTTCGATGCCGACTAGGGGTGCGCGGGGCGGGGAGACGAGGGCACGGTCGGCTGGGTGGAGGACGAGGGTTGGTGAGGCGATTTGGGAGAGGAGGGTTATGTCTTTGTAGAGGCGGATGAGGTTGGTTAGGGGGGTCGAGGGGGTGAGTTGGGTGTTTGGTGTGGTGGACATTGGGTTGGGTTGAGGCGGTGGTTTGCGTGGTTTGTAATGAGTTTATGTCTGTCCTATGGGGCAGTTCGGGCGTGGGCCTGGACGTGGACGTGGACGTGTTGAGGCGTTGTCGTTTGTGATGGGTCTATTGGGGAGCGAGCAGTCCCTGGATGATGGGGAGCGTTCGGTGTGTGTTGGAACCTGGGGGACATATGAGGTCTCGCTTGTAGTGGGCTGGCAGTGAGGCTTCTCATGATGGTTATGTTCGGGTAGCACGAACAGATAGGCCATTTTCGGAGGTCCGAAGGCATCTAGACATGGAAGGAGCGACGGGGTAAGTGAATTGATTGGGTTAAGAAGGAGCTACTACTAGTTAACACATGACTACCATCCCGCATGTTTGGCTAAACTTCCAAGCAGGTAGGTAGCTTGGTAGGATTGCTGTAGAGAAGATATCCGTCGAGAATCCCTTCGAAGGAAACATATCACAACGAATCGTGCTCAGCGTCCCCAAGTGCGCCTAGTGAAAAGCATCTATCTGTCACGATCAAGCAACGAGAACTCCTTATCCTCTGCAAGAGCCTGAGTGACATAATCTTCAAGACTAGATTAACCGACCAATTCTACGACTCAATCTCATTTCGCCCATCACCTCAAGTTCTCGGCGCCCGTGCCACGGGACGTCAATGTGAAATCAACCAAATACGGAGGTCATACAAGTCATAATCAATATGTCGCCAGCCGACGTACACAACCCAAGATTTTCACTGCCGGCCACATATCATGCACAAACCCGACAGCACCAGCCTCGCCCATTTATTCACCTCTTGCTCACTCACACCCTGGACTCACAAATCAACCAAAGGCCTCGCTCACCCCCAAAAGCCTTCACCCAGTGGCCCCCTCACTCAGCAACCAAGCGGGCAACCTCCCTTTCGCCACGCCCATCCCATCCCATCTCTATCTATTTCCACACCCGCTTCCGCCCCGCACCTTCCACAGCACGTAATCCATGAGGAGGGAAATGGAAAAAAAAAAGGCAGGGAGACGCCGAGTCCACTCCCGTTTCACAATCTCTCACCCGCCACGTTTCACCACAGAGGACTTTTCTGGCCTCTGCTTAATATTTCATCCCTTTATAGACCGGCTGACTCTCTCGAACTACCGTAGGTGCGTAGGTACTTCCGTACATGAGCTTTCACCCCCTTTCCCCGACCGGATCAAGCCAGTCCCGAGGGCGAAAGGGGGCTAAAGGATTGGCCACTCGAATACGCGGGAGCGCACACAACCATCCCTAGGTAGGTCCCTCGTGTCATTCCTTCTAGTGACCGGATTCTTAGACTGCGGGGTGAGACAGACGCACGCTACGGTCGGTTTGGGGATTAGGTCGTTACCCGAGTCACGACCGAAAAGACAACATTGAGCACGAGCTCCGGCTACGGTGAGTGTAAGTGGTTGCCGACTTTGCCACAGCGCTTTTTCGTCCTACTTGATCATACACAGTGAGACCCACTATTCATCATCAGCTGCTGAAACGGAACGATTCAGACTCATTTTCAATCCCCGGTCACAGACCGGATTCCCATTCTTTCTTCTAAGAATTCACCGCCCAGTTCCCCTACCTCCACCCAGCGCAGCCCATCCCCCAGCCCATCCTCCCAGCCCCCATATCATATTCACGCATTACACTCGCGATGGTACGATGTGATGCCCCGCCACCCCCAAGCATGTCGTAACATAACATCGCCCACACACCGAAGGACAAAAACTGAGAAAAGGAAACTTAAAAATAGGAAATAAAAAAAGATACTGAGAAAATTGCACAATGATCCAGCCTAGAGCGTCTTCCGATTCTCTTTTGAGGGGAGAAAAAAGGAAAGGAGAAAAGGGAGGTGACATAGATCCGGAAAACTAACCAACCCAGGTAACCATAAATTAAGGACCTAGGATATGTCGTGCCGTCTCCTCTCAGAATTCGAAAGAATATGGCACACTCTCCATCCCAGTCACACGCTTGACGGGTAGCCGCCCCTCCAACGTCGGGAAAAAGAGAACATGAATCGGCTCCAAGTGAGACGGAGCGAGAGGGGATGACCGACGCGGCACAAAAGGAAGCGAGTGGGCGTGCCATTAGGCGCCCCCAGCTGCCCGACAAGCAGCCTCCTGTTTGTTACAGTCACTCACTGAAGTGCCCTGCGCTTGCCCACTGTTCACTGCGTTAGCACAAGCGTTGTTCTGGATGGCGCATGCACGCTGGACGGCGGCGGCCTTATTGACAAAGGTGTCGCCGTTGACGCTAAACGGGCGAGCGGCATCACCGGAGTTTTGAACCGCCGGTGCTGCACCACCAATGGCACCACCGCCGCCAGCGGCACCAGCGTTATTCTGACCTTGACCATTCTGACCGTTCTGGCCTTGACCACCCTGGCCCTGACCGTTCTGTCCAGCTTGACCGTTCTGTCCAGCTTGACCGTTCTGTCCAGCTTGACCGTTCTGGCCTTGACCGCCCTGCCCAGCTTGACCATTCTGACCCTGACCGTTTTGGCCCTGGCCATTCTGGCCGGCTTGACCGTTCTGACCTTGACCGTTCTGACCTTGACCGTTCTGGCCAGCTTGACCGCCCTGGCCAGCTTGACCATTCTGACCTTGACCGTTCTGGCCGTTCTGTCCTTGACCATTCTGGCCTTGGCCGTTTTGACCATTCTGGCCGTTTTGACCATTCTGGCCGTTCTGACCGTTCTGACCGTTCTGGCCGTTGCCGCCGCCATTGTTGTTGCCGCCGCCATTGTTGTTGCCGCCGCCGTTGTTGTTGTTACCGCCGTTGTTGTTGTTACCGCCGTTGTTGTTGTTACCGCCGTTGTTGTTGTTGTTGCCACCGCCATTGTTACAGGCTCCGCCGACGCTGAAGTAGCGGCAGTCATCCTGCGCACCACGCTGAGCGACGGGCATCAGAACGGGTTGATGGTTGGAGGAACTGGACATGGTGCAAACGCGATAGCAACCCGCAGGGAGACCACCAGTAACCTCGGCACTCAGCTGGCCTTGGCCGTTGCCGGCATCGTTGATGCCCTTGAAGAAGGCAAACTGGGTAGCGTCGAGAGGCTGAGTGGGGTTCATGGTGTTGCCAGTGTCCTGGACCGTGACGTGAGTATGGCCCACAATCTGCCCGTTTCCGTTGAGGTCCTGAGGCGCCGAGTAGTACGTGCTTGTGGCGTTGGTGAAAGAGCCGAGTTCCATGTTGGCGATGTTGACGTTGACGTTGAAGGTGGTGAGCGCTGCAAGGTCGTCACCGTTCTGCGGGTTGGTAATGACCGATGAGACCATCTTGTTGACCGCGGGGATTTTGCCCATCGCTACGCCATGTTAGTTCCCAAGTCTGACTGTTGTTTAAGGCTGACTGTAGTACGTACGGATACCGTTGCAGGAGCCATCACGGTTCTGTAAACCGTTGGTGAGAGTGTCGCCAGAGCAGAAGTTGATGAAGTTGGCATTGTCACTTCGCAAGAGGTTAGCATCAACATTATCTGATAGTCACTGTATTAGGAGAAGTGCAAACATACGTGGCAGAATCGACCTGGCCATCCGCCGCTGCCCCGCTCTGGCCCGTCGAAGCCGAACCGGTTTGGACAGCATTGGCGTTCAGGCAGGTTTCGGTGGCCCCGTTGTTGTTGTTGCCGCCATTGTTATTGTTACCGCCGCCGTTGCCTCCGTTGTTGTTTCCCCCGTTCTGGCCGTTGTTCTGGCCGCCACCGCCGCCCCCTCGGTTACCCCCCCTGTTCTGGCGTGCCTCCAGAGAGTTGAGTGACCTGTACTGATGGACCGTAGCCGCCTCAGTGGCGATGGCCAGACCCAAGAGGGCCGTCACGGCTGTCTTCATCAACATTGTGGGCGCTGCCTCGAAGTCGTCGATATGTCGTCGAGAAAGATACTAAGCTCCGTGGGAGCTGATCGCTGAATCGAAAGATGGTTCCAGACCGTCAGAAGCGAAAAAGTGAAGCTAAAAGGAGTGATATGCGGCAGCTGGTGCCTGCAAAGTTGGGTTGGTATGTACAAGTACAACCCACGTCCAAAGAAAGGAACGAATGGAAAGATGGAAAGAAAAGAAGACAGGAAGGACGAAACAACTACCACCACGAAGTAGAACGGGACATGGTAAAAGAAGAAGAAAGCCAAGGAACGAGTCTTGGGGGCCCGCATGGGGTGTTATACAGACGAGCCGCGCGAGTGGGAACAGGGAGTGTGCTGCGACAGCGATCTGACGAGAACGCCAAGCCAGTGTTTCTCATGTGCCTGCAAGCCAAGCGGTTTCAATCTCTTCCGAAGGGCTGCCCCGTCTTCGAGCTAGGGTCACCGCCAGGAACTCAGAGAGATAGGTACCGGGATGGACGGCAGGAGGTCCGGAGAAAAGAATCTGGTGTGTGCGGCCCCACGGTCCCAAAACACGGCGCATGGGACGTCGATGCAGGAGGGTAGGCGGCCAGCTAGAATCGTCCGACAGACGGAGGAACACGGGGAAGGTGCAACAGGGTCCTTTCCTAGCCCAAGACGTCCCAGACAAGACGTTTTTTTAGGTTGGAAGATGGGACGGCAGGGGCACCTTCCCGTACGATCCATGGATCTTTCCTTATTGGGCATCCACGAAGAAGGGGCACATTGGATGTGCCCTCGAGAAACGAGGGAAAGTACGCTTTGCACTTGAGACCGGGTGCACAGGCACGGCGAATTGCAGATGCACATCAGAAGAATCTTCAACGGCGGACCATATCGAATGGCCACCAGTCTGAACTTGCTCGTTGATCCCGTTGATGCTCCCGGAAGGGCATACCTGGGTGACGGCCTGGTCTGCTTGACGGTCGGCGGGGCCAAGGGGGAAAAGACGAGAAAATTGGCCACCGGCACATCGACATGAGACGAGATGCCTAGGTAGTGAGTCTACACTTGCAGACGGGACTCCGCGGCAGCCCAGCGCGCTACGCCCGTATTGCCATTGCTCGGCGGCATACAGGGCTGGGCTGGGTTGTTGGAGTGAAGTTGAGGCGGCTCCTGTGCCAGAGGCTTGTTGGTGGACCCTGCTCGTGGTCGCTGGGGCCAATCAACAACCAGGGGTCAGGGCGATCGTGCAGCTGAAGTTTCGGGATGAAGCGCAAGCGAGCGTGCATTGACGCTATCCGCTAGTGGGTCGTTCCCCACAAGGGGTCTCTTCAGGGTGATTCTCGATTCTCGACCCCGCGGTCATCCAGCGACTCCCCTTCAGCAGCCGCCCGCTTGCCCGCCATCGTCCATCGTTGACCAACGAACCCTGGCCTTTGTGGTGAAGGTTCCTTGTGCATTTGAGGAATGGCAAACTTTAACGACTGACTTGAAAAAAATTCCCCAACAGGATACGATCTCCGCTGTCGCTGGCCTTGCGTTAGCGCCGGCTGCCGCTTTCCGTGTCAAACTATCAAAGGGCCCGCGTTATGTAGGGACGACTTTCGGCCTGCGTTCTAGCTCGTGCTTTTCTAACTAACTAGGTAGCGTCTATCGGCGACGCACGATCCCATGTTTGGTACACACAGAATACAAATTTCAGCCACACAATCCCCGTTGAAGCCGGTAGATCGGCAGCCCGAAATACGGGCCGGGTTTGGCCGGGGGTTAATCGTGGCCCGCTGACTTCTGGTGGAAAAGAGGGACTCGTCCGCTCTCGACACCTCGGCCGAACACGATACCTGTTCCTTACGGTACCCTTCTGCGATAGATTGTTTACTCTCCATGGGATTGAAGTTTCGAACCCTCTCATTCTTGGAGCATCATCCCCGTGCGGTTTGGATGGAGATGGAATAAGGTTGCATGGAAGGGGCGTGGCGGCCAGGGTCCCCTCAACCCATCAAACCCAACCTCTCGGGCTGGGCTTGCTCACATTCCCTGGCAGCCCTGGCAGTTCCTCCACTTCCACCGACCTAGTTTCGGAGTCGAAATGTTACCATGAGAAGGTCAAGCAAGGGGTCGACGCTCTTTCGGAGTCGATGTCCAACTTCGTTCCGATTCCTAAGGTACGCACCACAGTGTCAAAAAATGACATTGCCTGGCCGCAGTATTCTATCGAGAGAAAGATGGTTCCATCATACCGTTTACACGGGGCTGTATTTTGGATGAATTCAAACCAAGTGACCACAAGGCAAGCCCGTAGCGGGCCCTTTATATTTGGATACGAAAATACATTCATTGTTGTAATAACGGCCAACTCTAGTTTCAAACACCACGTTTTCATCCCATCCTCCCCAATCCCCAACCTCCACCTCGCCTATGATAAAAAAGGGGGATCACTCGGTCGGTTGCTCCTTTTTCGTCTCTAACAAGTCACTTAGCGCCACGTTTGACTCGAGAAACACGGGGCTCTTAAAGATTGAAGCTTGCACGACTCGGGACATGGCCGTGTGGCTGCAAAGCGCCAAGCGGCGAAGTTACCGAGGCGAACCCCTGCGCATCATGAGACGAGGGATTCTGTTCTCCTTAACCCTCCTCCCCCCCCCTCAACCGCCTAACTAAGTCAAGCAGAGTCCGACTGTTCGCTTTTGCGTTGAAACGACGCAGCTTGTTGTCGGAACCAACCTTTAATTTGCTCTAAACACCAAAGTGAAATCGTTCGGGGTAAGGAGAACGGCAGTGATACCCTACATCGGCACACTCGGCACGTTGCCAAACCAGGCCCAATCTCAACTGATGGACTCTTTGTATTCTCGCATCCATGCATTGTTCTTACGAAGGGCGCCCTGACTCTTCTTGTCTTAGCTGTCGTCGACCCGTGACCATCGATCGGCGGAACGAAACGGGGGCAAGTTGTAACTCCCCTCTATTTTCCTTGCCCGCTTCAGGGGATTTTCGGTCGTGTGGAACTCACGCCGTCCTTGCCGAAGACTTGGGGCGTACTGGAGAGCGGAATGATGGCGTGAGTAAAGCTTGGCATCGCATGGCAGATCGCCAGCCCTCGACGGGAAGATCATACACGGGCGTGTCTTCTTCCTTTCTGGAGCCGCGCAACACACACGCCCTCTCCCTCCCGCAACGTTTCCCATCTGTAGTTCAGTGCCCAGCTCTGTTTGTGCGCGGATCATCGGCGGTGATCCTTTCTAGATGGGTTACTTGACTTTCTCCCGGAAGACTTTTGAAGACGTGAACTGTTCCAAGAGGTTATGGAGGACTAAGAGTGAAAATGAAATGCTATGACGTCGCACTCCAGCTGCCGTAGCCCGCGGGATCAGCTTTACTTCCCTTTTCCCATCATTCGATTTACATGGGGGAGAATAACAGGCTATTTCCAAACAAGAAACGATGGGAAAACATAATTATCGGCACCCGACTAAAGATCGCCCGGCGCTTCTTGAGTCTTGAGGCTCGTGACGATCAGGTCCAGCCAAGCAGCCAAGCGGAATCCCGCCCGCGCAACCTGCACCTCGATTATCGGCGCGGCCGCCTCGTAGTAGTCTGACCCGAGCTCCTGGCCTCTGATGGCGTCGGGGCCCTCGGGTAGGACTGCGCTATGTTAGCCACAGATCAATTTATCCATTAGTAGCCTGTCCCTTTCTTCCCCCTTTTATACCAACGAAAAGAAGTTCGGCAAGACATACCATGTGTGCAGACGTATGCGTTCCCTATCCTCGCCCAGGACATCGCTGTAGCAATCGGATCCGACAAGTTGGCCGACCTCACCCACTCGATGCTCTCTGATGCGTATTTGCCCTCATTGATCTCATGAGTCAACTCGTCGGCCCAGCGTTTGGCCTCCGGGTACGGCCCGCGACGGCGCACGCCACCGACAAGCTTCTCGGCAATGCTCGTGTCCCACACATGGTGCAGGTTGTAGTTGCGGCCGTCGAACAGTACGTGGATGCCGTTGCCACCGCGCTCGACATTCTCCGTGTGTAGCGGCTGGTGTATGTCGCCGATGAAGTGGATGATGAACTTGGCGGCGATGGCGCGCTCCGAAGCGCGCAGGTCGGTATCGAGTAGGCGCGTCGTGTAGTTGTGCAGGGCGCTGACGACGCAGCCGCGGTCCTTTTTGCAGTCGCGATCGAAGTCGACGCCGCAGTACTGTGGCGGCGAGTCCTTGGCGTCGATGAAGTGGAAGTCGGACGTGAACCGCCCCCACTTGGTGTACCGGATGGAGTCGGCCCAGGTGGCCACGCCGGCAAGGTAATCGCTCGTGTCGTTGCGCAGGAGGGTCTGAAGGTAGGTGGTAGTCGACGGCGAGACGAAGTTGCTCGCTATGTAGCCGACGGTGATATGTCCGAAACCTGTTGACGTCACGCCCGTCTGGTCAGATGGGAACCGTCTGATAGAGAATGAGGTCCTGGGCGGGTGTGCATACCGCCCCACGCCAGTGCTCCAGGCACGGCTGCGGCCCCAATGATAAAAGATGACGCCTTCATGTCCGCTTATGATCGCCTCGGTCTCAACTGTGTCTTCGGGGTTTCCTCGAGAGCTTTTGAATGCGGAAGTAATCTTAGAAGACAGCAAAGCAGATGGAGAAAGAAAAAAGAAGCGCAAGGTTCGTAGTCTCCCGAACCCTCCACGACCACTGATCCCGGTGGTCAGCTGCCAGGACCGGCAGGGCTGATGCGCAGCCTAGTGGTGATGGATGTTGGGATCGGATCGCTTGCGGGCCGCTCTCAGAGCGGTTGCTGGGGGAACAGACGGGCCAATCAATCTCGCGGAAACTGCGGAAAGCTCCACGTGCTGAAGCGACGGGTGCGCAGGGGATAGCTCGATAGCTACCATGGACTCCCTACAAACTCCATTACCACAGTACATCCGCCGTTCCCGAAAACAGAGAAGAGAAAATAGCATGTATCAAAGAAGGCGGCCCTGATTTTCTCTAGATCCTATGTTTTTCGGTTGCTTTTGGCAGAGCTGAACCAGATTGTAGTTACGTTTGACATTTTGACATTGAGAATGAGAGCGTCGCTCCTCGAAACGACGGCCTTCGCCGGTTCTACCTAGTCATGGGATGATTCCCGGGTATTCGCTTACTGAGTCATTATATTCAGTCTCGTGCGCTGAGAGGGCGACACACGGAAGGGGGGAAGTGTTTTCTATCGCCAGGCAGAAAGCGGAATCTCACATTCTAGGTGCGACAGCTAGGACTCCAACATGGAAGTCAAGTGTCCTGCCTATATAGGCCCAGTCACGTTCGTTAAATCCTGGTCCCCATTGTTTCTCGAGTCGAAGGTCGTCCTAAGGCCTAACGTTGCACTGGGCGCCAGACGATCATGAGCATTGGTCCACGGGCAGTTCAGATTGAATTTAGCCCGAGACAAAAAGCATCAAAGCACATTTTGTACATCTAATATTGGGAGAGAAGATAATATCTCTCTAATTTCTCATTTTGGCTCTCTTGCATCTGCTGTACAACCCAATGATTCTTTTGGGAGATACAGTTATCTTTGAGTCCGAAGCCAAGCTCCCAAGGTCCCCATGAGCGGGAGCGTAATCCGCAGCGCGTGACTGGCTCGAAAACCCCCACAAGACCTGACCCACTGATCGGGATTCTGAATGCGGGGGGCTTTGTCGCTCACTCGGTCGCTGACTTTATCACACATATTGCCCCCGCCCTGCAGGCTGCATGCAGAGAATCGCGGCTGGCTTGCTTGGCTGGCAAGTTGGGTGGGCAGCTGCATTTCACTGCATTGCGCTTATCCAAACGGGATTCTCAACACCAGCCACTGAACGTGCCCATGCGCCCAGCTGCGCGAGGCGAGAGGATCTGCTGAGCTTCCCATTCTGGGTTGGTGCTGAGCTGTCTCCGCGCAGATCTGGGGACCCACGATAAGGGGTCTCGGCACGGGCAAGGCTCGGAAGGGGCTTGGTGGATTGGTGACTTCACCGGCCGATTCCCGCTCGACAAGGTGTGGATCTCCAACACCAAAAGCTTCCCTCTGCGTCACACAACTCTTGATATCCGCCCGGCGCGACGAAATCGCTCGAGGAAACGCCGGACCTCATCGTGGGATGAATTTAATTTGATACTTGGGCCTCCATCTTCCTATTGTCAGACTACTTCTCCCGCTATGCAAACATTTGCTGCCGCCAACCTCGATGCCCATCGTGGGCCGAGGGTTGGGGAGGCGCTCTCAGGTGTCTTCGGCAGCGTCAGCATGGTGGCCTGGATATGTCTTCTGGTATGCCAATGAAAACTTATATGGGAGCGGGAGTACGTGCTAACAGAGCTACAGCTCCCGCAACTTATCGCGAACTACAAAGCCAAAAGCGCCGAAGCGTTATCAATGAAGTTTCTTTTCATATGGCTCCTTGGTGATATTTGCAACCTCTCTGGTCCGTTGCCCGGAACCCTCCCGCTAGGGCAATGCTATTTCTATCCTGTAGTCATTGATGTACTAAAACCCCGTGCAGGCGCCCTCTTCACGAGCCTTGCCCCGTCCACGATCGCGCTTGCGTCCTACTTCTGCATCGCCGACATCATCCTAATTAGCCAATGCACATACTACAACACCCTCAACGCCCGGCGCCGTGCCGCGGCCGCCCGACGCGAATCGCATCACCATCATCACCATCACCATCACCACGCCCGTTCCACCGTCGACGCGGCGGACGATAACCTTAACGCGACCAGTTCCCATCCAGCAGCGGCCTCCGCGACTGAATCCGACCCCCTCCTGCCCAATGGCGCCGGCAGTGCCAACACAAACGGAGACCTTCCCGGTTCCCACCGCCGCCACGAAGTTCGCCGGCGCGACAGCAGCGGTCTTACTGACCCGCTGTCGCGTATCATCACAGGCGAGGACGACACTCCCGACAGCCAACCGTGGTTACACAACGCTGTCAGCTTGATTGCTATATGGGTGGTGGGCGCGGCGGGGTGGTTTGTGAGCTACAAGATGGGCGCGTGGGATGTGCCGGCGCCCGGGGATGGTGATGGGGAACCTGCCGTTGAGGATCCCTTGGCCGTGGTGGGAATGGTGCTGGGGTGGGCCAGTGCCGTCTGTTATCTCTTGTATGTCCCCCCTTCTTTTTGCGTTCTTCACATGCCGGCCCCGGTTCCGCGACAGCGGGGGAGAGTAAACTAAGGATGAACTAACCTGTGTCTTCTGACAGCGCCCGCATCCCCCAAATCATCAAAAACTACCACTCCAAATCTTGCGAAGGCCTCTCCCTACTCTTCTTCCTGCTCTCGCTCACTGGCAACTTCACCTACGGCGCCAGCGTCATCTCCTACTCGCAGGAGCGCGACTACTTCCTCCGCGCGGTGCCTTGGCTCCTCGGGTCGCTCGGCACCATCGTGGAGGACTGCATCATTTTCGTTCAATTCCGGATATACTCACCGGAGAGGCAGCCTAAGTCTGGCGCGACTCCGTGATCAACGATTCCTTTTTTGTTTCCTACTGGAGAGTAGACGTTGTTTTGGGGTTGCATTGGGTTTCTCGAGCATCACTAAGTTCGAGGTTCAAGGGCTGACCGAGGTTGGCCTTAATACGGTTCTGGTTCGTAAGCATCATGGGTTAATGCATGTGATGGAGGAAATGACATTCATGGTTATATGTCGGGCGCATTTTTTGAGGCGTTAAGGCCAGATTGTCTTTCTAAAGGCGTCTTTGGATCATAATCTACATCGTTGGAAATGGCTTCCCCGTGCGGAGCTTGTAACGACTTTCTTTCCCATACTTTGTGACCATGTGAGGTGCTCTTTGGAAGTGGTGTGAAGTTGGCTTTTCGTAGTCGTGGGCGTCCGATCCTCGTCATGGTTGGCTAAAGACTTAAAAAGGAGAAAGGCATAGAATTTAGGATTATCCACTGCCTTGGTGGAATATCGCCCATGTTGGTGGTTAGTTACTTTCCAGTTCAACTCGAGCCGGCCTAGCATAAACTTGACCTAAGCTTGACACGTGAGACAAAGAATCTGGGAGCTATTTTTGGGAACCAGGTCGTCAGTTTGGAGAGAGAAGACGGTGGGAGACTTCTGCTCTAGAATGTTGTTAAAATTCCTCTTTGCGTACCAGGGCTCATCCTCTGCGTCCTCGCTCATTTAGGTCCTCGTATCAGACCACAATTCGCGATTCAACGGTCCCGTGGTTGTCTCTGTCTCACTCACCCGGAGCCGTCTTGGCAGACCGATCCCTGCCAAGACAAAAAGTGTCTGAGAAGCGCTCGGCCCGTCCTTTGTCAGGCGGGCCTCGTTGAGAAGCGACCCACACTGTTGAACTTCACAGTTCGCCTTGCGAGCGCAAGTTGTTGAAGTGGTTCTGCTGAACTGTCTGTATCAGCGCGATTTCGGGAACTTGATGCTTCTCGAACCAAAGTCCAGATTGGTTTCTGTGAGAAATATCTTTCTCTCTTAATATGCGCTGGTTCTAAAGACTGAAACGGGGGACTTTTGGGGGTTCCAGTTGCGGCCCCGGCCGCCCCCAGACACCCCCAAGGCGTCTCAGCGGCGGGTTTCAAAGATGCGACGAAAAGGCCTTTTTTTTGCCGCCCAGGTTTGCGACTCGGCGCTTCCTGTCGACCAGTCCCCTACCATTGATTGGGTTTCCCCTTCTTCTCTTCATTTTCGTCCTTGGTTTGTTTGGGTCTATTGGTGGTTGACTGGTGGTTCTAGTAACTCTTCTATCTCTCCTCTTCACTTCTCTTCATAATACGACAGCCGGTTCTGAATACCTTCATTTTCTCTTATTTTGTATTTTCTTCCCTGGCGGACCGATAATTTAGTCATTAAGGCTTGACCTATAATTTCCCAAAGGCAACGATCCCCACTAGTCAACATGAGGCTCGTTGCTTTCGCCGCTGTCACGCTTTCGCTGTGCCTCTCGCTTGTCAGCGCCGGCGTCGTCCGTACACCCATCCGGCCGGACCAAGTCGTTCCCAAAACTGGCGACGACTGTTTCTTTGGCGTGACTACACCTCAGGGGTGCGGGTACGTTCTCACCGTTCCACCACGGATATGTCTTGGAGGCATTATCGGATTATGACGACTAACTTTCCAACAGGCCGCTCCGAACGAGTTGAGTGCATCTCGCTTCGCGCGTTCCACCACCAAGCTTGGGTAGCGCCATGGACCACTAGTAAAACAGCGAAACTCGAGGGTTGAAGCTGCGAGCGACCCACGAATGAACTAGCCGTTGTCTGCGCCGGCCAACTGGTATTCATCGGAGCAAGAGAAACAGGCGGCGACGGGAGATCTTGGATGTTAGGCTTGGGGGCGATGGTGTGAGGTTGCGGCGAGTTCTCTTCTTTTACATAATACCCAAGCGCATCAATAATACTTGTGTCATCGAGCCACTTGGCCGATGGCTAACGGATGGAGACGTCTCTTCTTTGAATGCAGCACATCGAAACTGGGTTGGAGCTTCCGAAGACGCATGTGTTGGTTGAGGTTCACAACATGCTGGAAGAAGTTGTGGACATGAAGTATTCATATTAGGTGTTTATTAGGTATATTCGTACCACTCACCAGCGCCATTATCCATTCACAACAACGCCCACAATCATACATCAGCTAGTACATCTTTTGGTGGCCTCCTTTCGGTTCATAGCTTCTCGCAGGTTATGCTGGGAGTGGGGCCGGGACGCCAGTTGGGCTGCCCTGCTTTGCGCCGGGCTGTGGGAGGAAGATAGGAAGGTAGGTCACGATCAAGGATACCACTGGAGGAAAACATGTTCGGTTAGATGGAATGATACATGGGTGGAGTTGTGGGCAAGAGGCGCCTTACATGACATGCCGACATTGAAGTAGCCTGGCGTGCTGCTGCTCTTCTTGGTCTCTTCGCTTTCTCCTAGCCAGCTTTGGATGCTAAAAACGACGGCCGCCCTGAAAGATATGGTGTCAGATCATCGTGCTTATCATTGTGGCGCATAGTATGATTCGGTCGGCGGAGCCAGAGAGTTTTGTTGGGTTATGGGAAGAGAAGGCGCATCGCATCGCAGGATGATGGAACCAGTTGGGGTAAGCTCACCACCCGATGTACTTGTTCCGCAGGAAAATGGCAGCCATTGGAAGAGTGGAGGAGATTGTGGATTGGAATTCGACATTGTCGCCTTTGGCGGCCGGTTCTTGGTACGGAATGACTGTGGACGCGTGATCATGATCAGTGGATGCCTCGAACGAAGACCGCTAGAGACAGGCAGGGTCTCTTTCTGTCACTTACTCAAGTCCGGCTGCCTCATATCCTTCTCCTTGGTAGTAGAGTCCATGGCGTCTGAGTTAGTGGCGTCGATGCGAAACTAAACGCTTGATGGTCGGGTGTTGAATAGGGATGGCGAGAGCGACGTGTTTTCGGCGTGGGCTCGAGTTCAGACATCCTTGGCGCTCCAGCCGTTCGAAGGTCTGCTTGGCCCCGGGCGTTCGGAAGAGCTTCCATGCGGAGGACAGGGGTCCCTCCACTGATGGAGGCCCACCCTGGCCGGTCGCTCTCACTTCTTGATATGTCGCGCGCAATGGGAAAGTTTTGCCCAAGGACGAAGATCTGACCGATGTGTAAATAGGTACCTATTGCTGCTGATTTTCAAGATAATTCGGGCATATACTGTGGGTTCCGGGCTCTAGTAACCGCCGTAGTCCGAATTTACCGACGGCCGAAGTTCAACCATCCTGTGCAGGACAGAGTCGCCAGGATATGGATCCGTTGTTACCATGTAAAGCGCCCTGTTCCATTACGAAATACTCACATCTCACGATATCACAGGCGGCAAGCTTTGCGATCTCACACATGCACGAATGCGGGGAGACAACCTCTTGGAGCTGTCGCACGGAGATGCCCAACCATTCAAGTTTCGCGTGATTTTTCATCGTTTGCCCCATGAGCTGCCGATCAAAGGGGGGTGTTGACATCCCGCCGCGGCCTTTTCTCCAAGCCCGCTGACTGCTGCAATAATCACGATGAGTGGCAGCTGAGCCGTGGATTACCAACTCCTGTCGCATCAGCAGCGAACCGCAACGTCTACTGGCCGACAGCGGTAAGCCCCGACGGGCCGGAGAGGGGCGCTGCCAAAAGACCTGCGGTATCCTCCGGCGTTTCTTTCGAAACCACAGCGCTCGGATCCGGAATGGAGACACGAGACGTCGCTGCGTTCTTGAAGGCGAAGATGGGCAGAGCGGCACAACATGGAAAAAAATGAACGCCTGTCGCTGTCGAGCCCATCTGCCGTTTCCGAGCCGTCCCTACCAACCGCTCCCGTTGAAGATCAGGTCTCCCGCTCACCTCCCCCCACTTGCGGGAGCACTGTGTGCAGGTGAGTGGGTTGGCAGCACCGTTGCATTGCCCCCTTGTCCATACCAACCCAAGGCTCGATGTCGGCCAATTTGGGGAAACAGCGTGCACACCATCGCCGAAGCGGTTGTGGGTCCCGCGAGAAGCAGCCCGGCCCAAGCCAGTCCCATGAGCGAGCTGTCCCTGGATGGAAATATTACCTGCCTGATTACCTGACCTTCCCCAGGTATTTAACTTTAACTTTACCGACCTCCTCTCCAGGACAGGCCATCCGACGGGACCTCCCGGCTGACCACTTTTATCGGCCAAAACCACAAGTTTGAAGCGGTCGTACGAGACATGGGACCGCAGTGTCGAGGACCGTCGTACATTATTCTTGCAGCCCGTTGCCGATACTAGAATCTGCTGTCATTTTCTCTTCTCGCACGACTTGCAATTCGGGCATGAATCAAGCAGCGCAGTCAGCCGCTGTTGCCATCCGAGGGCGGGCGTAACTTTACATTACACGGGGCCTCCCTGTCACTAGCGACCAAGCCCAGCCCGGGCAGCCGAGCATCTCGCCTGCTACAGGGGTCGCTGGTCCGTTCGGGCGGGCGCTCCGACCACATCCCATTCCATCCGATCGCATCAAATCGCCATTGCTTCCGACATCCTTCGATCTTTACCGAGCACGCTGGGGGATTCCCATCATCCATCAACAACATCGTGCGGCATGGCGCAGTCGCTCCTTGCTCTGCGATGACCTCCCGGCCCCCCTTGGGCGTGCAGCAGCGACCGCCGCCCCAGCACAAGCTGAGCGGGCCGACTCTGTCGCAGCGCCCGGCCGCCGCCCATCAGCGCGCCCTTTCGCAACATCAGCAGCAGCCGCAGAAACAGCAGCAAAAACAGCAGCAACAGCAGCACCCGCAACAACAACAGCAACTACAACAACAACACATTCAGCAACAGCAATCACAGACACAACAGCAATCGCAGTCGCAGCAATTCCCACCACCCTCTCCCATACGCAAAGACGCCGCTATCTCTGCGCTCTACGACTTCCCCCCGGTCGACTCCGCTGATGGCGCGGCCCCTCGACACGGCGTCCAACGCCGGGCCGGCTCACGCCTCAAACTAGAGTTATCTCGCGATGCCACCGACTCTTTCGTAACGCACACACTGGCCACCGAGTCCCCGAACACCGTCGAATCGTCGAAGCCTTTTACGCCCTCGCGAATCATCCCCCACACCGACTCATCTGACCTAGGAGATATGAGTCCACATCTCTCGGCTCACCCGTTGAGCGTCGAGGAGGATGTCCCGTTCCCCATGCCTTGCCGGCCGCCCCCTTTTGTCGCGAGCAACCCACGCCGCGGGATGCCCCCTCCACCGACGAACCCGAACCCGATCAAAAAAGAGACCCGTCCGAAGCCCTACACCGTCGAACCGCCCGCTGCGGCCCCACGATATGCTACACCAGCCGACTCGAAGAGCAGGACGAATGGCTTTGCCCCGCCACCAAAGACGGGATATGCCGACTTCTCTCCCTGGACCGGCCATCACCCCGAGGACCAATTCTCCGACAATGTGATCCGGAATGGGTATTATGATAAGGGCTCGTTTGCTACCGCCGAGACACAGTCGGCTAAGAACATCCTGTTCCCGGCGTTGAAGCACAAGACGGGTCTGGGCGCGCTCTCCTCCGTATTCACGGCGATCTTGGGACAAAGGAGGCACACGGGACAAATCACAGCCCCCTCCACCTTCAAGCCACCCCCACGTGTCACGCTGACCGATACCAAACGAGACCTTTGGCTAAAGGACCTCGCGAACCCGGCCATTCTGCTCCGCCGGCTCAGCCGGACGATTCCTCACGGCATCCGCGGCAAGGTCTTACTCGAGCAATGTTTGAACAAACATGTGCCTACGGACCGCGCTGTTTGGCTGATCAAGTGCGTCGGAGCAAATGAGATTCGCGCAACCAAACGGAAGGGCGTGAGCACCTTGGTTATGGGCGGCGAAACCAGATGGATTAAGGACTGGACTGTTTCCGTCGAACAGTTCATTGAAAGTGTGTACTTTGCCTTTGACCAGGATGACTGGAAAGCCAAAGTTCATTACACGTGAGATACCCCTACTCCTTGCTCCCGTGCCCTTCCTCCTCCCTTCCATCTCCGTCTTTGAATTGCTACTAACACCGCAATAGAACCCGACTGGCGGCACATTTGTATGCCGAGCAGCTTCTCGATCGCGAGCACTATTCGGAGTGGCTCGTCTCGAACCTTGAAAATAGCACTGATGCAAAACTTCCCATGTGGTTGCTCATGACGCAGCTGTACTGGAAAGATTTGTTGAAGCTGAGAAAGTACGGGCGCAGGTTGGTCGCCGCTCTCATCAGCCACCATAACCTAGTAAGTGGCATTTTTTGCGTCCGTTACTACACTACGAGAATGCATGTTTCTTACCAGGACCCAGATATATAATCACCCCGATAAAGATATCCTTCACCCGCTGCTCGACAACCTAACTCAATGCCTCAACGCCCTGATCCTGAGCAGCCCCGAGAACTTCGTGGCCCCATCAACATGGTCCAAGTATCGGGAAGCGTTAAAAGCGTGTCTGCCCGCTGGCGACGAAGCTAGGCACAGCGCTTTCAGCGCCATCAGCCTGCGTAACGAACAGCTCGCTGCGGCCGCCAACCGTTCACAGCCGGCCGCTCGCCACATCCTCGTGCGGATGCTTGACGGAACGCTCCAAGCCCCCATGCCGGACGAACTCCCCTCGCAGTGTTGGGGGATTTCCAAGGACAAGGAGGCCTTGGCCCAAGCTCTGCTCGAGTGGTGTACCTCGCTGTATCGCCCCGGTTTGGCAAAAGTCTACGTCGCGAGCCGGATCCTACAGCACTGGCGCACCCTAGGCCTGGACACGACAACCGCGGTACTCGCTTTTCTCGAGGCCGACGCTTGCGAGGAGAGGGACCGCAAACCGATGCTGTATCACCTAGTCTGCGAGCTTGTTCGGTCCGGGGTGTTCTCCGTCCCAGTCTACATTCAGTGGCTGATGGCCCGAGGCGGAGCGAGGAGTCCGGAGCTTGTCTCGAGGGACGGGCCAGGGCCAACCCGCTTACTCGTCGAGGTCCCTACCCACGCCCTTACGCCATCGCAACGGGATCTTAGGGGCGAGGTGCTACGGCGCGCCTCGTTTAGTGTCTCGGACGCCGCAGCTGACGTCGAGTTGGCGGTCAAGCACCTCCAGCGTGCGCTAGGGATGCAGGTGGAGGCTTCCGACCTCAAGCCCTTGTCGCTCCCCAAGTTGACAAAGCGGATCGCGTCCGCAGACCGTTCCCTGAAAGCCGAGCTAGGCCAATGGCTCCGGGCCAACGTTGCTGTGCACGTTGAGGAAATGGAGAAGGAGGGTAGCCAAGCTGGGGAAATCGCGCCTTCGGTTTTCTACGCCGTGCGATCCGTACTGGAGGCTGCCGAGGATTTTTCTATCTTGGGCGATATCCTCAAGATGCTCACGAAACACTCGAACGTAGAGATTCTTGCTGCGATCACCGACACCGTCAGCCGGCATTTCCTAATCTTTTCGGCCCTGGGCGTTGCCTCGCCCCTATTCCGCAGTCTCCATCAACGCCTTAGAGCGGCCGCTCAGGAACAGGGACTTGCCCTTCGCCCCCTTCTGGCCTCGCTCGTCACTCTTGCTCCTAGGATACCTGGTATGGAGGAGCTCGCGTCGCAACTTAGGAAAGACCTCGCGCTTAGCGACCGCCAGAACCCTGTGGATGCCTGTTCGCCGGTATCCGACAACATGGTGGCTCGACTGCAGGACGATGCGGGCGAGTTGCACGAGGAGATTGAGAAGCTGCTAGCAGGCGGCTCGAGCGTGGACCGGAACACGATGGAGCGGTTGTTTCAGACGATCGTTCAGCGCTTGCAGGCCAGCTGGACGAAAGCAAGCGACAAGCAACGGGCTTACAGCAGCCTGCTGGGCCGGTTGCGCCTCTTCAACGCGCAGCACTTTGACGGCCTCATGGTGAAGTGGCTCTTGAGCCTCCGAACGCTTGGTAACCGGCCGTCCATCCTCCGCATCTTGCCGCTGCTCGTGTCGGTTGGGTGTGTGGATATGGTGGCGATTCTGGCCACGACCTCGGATTTTTCCGCCGGGCAGGGCGTGGCCCACGCGCGAACACCTGCCGCAGCCGCGGCCACAGCCGCCTCGACACCTCAGGTTGTGCAAATTACTTACCGGACGAGATACATGCAGGAAGTACTGCAGCTACTTACTGCGCCGATCCGGCTGGATGACCTGCTGACCACGGATGAGGTTTATCGGTTTTCCATTCTCCAGGAGCAGGCCGTGAGGGAATCCCCCAAGGAGGTCCTCGGTCTAATATTTCTTGCGTCGGCCGAGTACTCGTATGCCAAGGCGCAGAACGACTTGGAAGGGTTGCCCCTGGAGTCGGAATCAGTGCAACGGAACCTCCTCGAGCTGCTTAAACGGCTGATCTTGAGGGATGCCGCCGGCGTAGTCAGATTGTTGGGCATCAAGAGTCCGAATGCCCAGGCCGGGGGGTGGATGGACAACGTGACGACCAAACTGTTGGTTCCTACCGCTGACGGCTCCCCCCGCGTCTCCTTTGACCAGGTGCTGGAGCTCACCAACGAGTTCACCCTGCCGTTTTGCCAAGTAAAGCTGGCGCTGAGCTTGAGCGCCAACGAGCAGGCTGGCCATGAGAGCACCGAGCGGCAACAGTCCCATGTCGAGCTTTTCGCGAACGCCATGGACAAAGCTATCAGCGTGGGCAACATCTCGTGGGTCGGCATGCTCAGCTGTCTCAGCCCAGAGATCACGCAGCACCTCAAGGTGCGCGCCCAGACTCGCTTCCTCGACCTCCTCCCCTCTTTCCGCAACCCCCCGCGAGCGGACGACACTCTCGCCCAGAATCTCCAGATGGCCGAGAACCTCCTCTCTGTGATCGACGCCATCATGCGTGGCAGTCCCCAGGGGTCACGTCAGCCGCAGCTCTCGCCCGCCGTGGCAGAGAAGCTCGTCGATCTCTGGGAGGTTCTGGCTGCACGGTCCGACGATCAGAGTCAGAGTCGGAGTCCGGACGCCATGATCATCGATTCTGTGGACCCCGACGACGAGATTTTCGCTGCTTCAACGCAAGCGAACAACAACCCCAAGACAACCGTCCTTGCCCACTGGCTGCCACTGGTGCTCAACTTCATCACCCTCCACGCCCACGCCTTCGATCTCTCCAAACCCACCAGCGACGTACGCGCCAAGATCCTCGTCGCCTGCGCCGGCCTACTTCAGGAACTTGACGCCCTTCACCTACCAGGCACAGGCATCGACACTCAGCCCCTCAGCCGCCGCGTGTTTGACCTATCCTGTCTACTGGTCGACAACCTAGCCGAAGACGCACGACTGATGTGTGTCCGCGCGGTCAAGGACTGCGCCGGGTCAGATGCGCGGTTGCGGTACCTATTCAGTTTCTCTTCTTCCCTCTCAGGCGGCTGTGCCGCAGAGGGCGGTGGGGATGGCGGAGGGACATTGATGCTTGCGCATCGTGAAAAACCGGGTATGGGGGGGATGTCCCTGGCCGGATATGGTCGGCCAACGACGACCAACAACACTACCGCTGCTACTCCCACTAATGCAACCAGTACTACCACACCAACCACCGGCACGATGCCCACACCTGGGGCCGCCATACAGCTACCCGGCGGTTTGCTGGGCACGCCGACGTCGTTGTGGGGGGGGGTGGATCGCAGCCAGACGGGGGAAAGGCTCAGTGTGTTTCATTTCCGGCGGTGGGAGATGTTGAATGAGCCGACGCCGAATGTGGGGGAGAATGATACGGCGTTGAGTTTGGGGTTGTTTGAGGCGCGGAGGGTGCAGTGAGGGAGGGGGGGTTATGGAGAGAGTTGGGGGGGGGTTATGGAGAGAGTTAGGGGGGGTTTTTAGAGGGGGAGAGTTGGAGACGAGGAGAGTGAAAGGGGGAAGGAGTCGAAGAGGAGAGTCAAACAAAGGACGGAATGAAGATGGGATACGAGATCGATTCTGTCTATTTTTGGGGGTCATATCATGTCATCAACGAATGAGGTGTATTCATGTGTTTTTACGTATTAGGCGACGACGAGGAAGGTGGGCGGGGGCGCTGGGGAAGACGGAGCGAAGAAGACACGAACCGAACCGAACTTGCCATTCTCCTTTTTCCTTTTTTTCTGGTCCATAGTCTTTTCTCATTATTTATTTCATCTAGCAAATACTCAAGGCATAGCGTGTCTGGTTTGGGGACAATGGGGGGTTTACTTACGTCTGGGTCTGGGTTCTGGGTCTGGGTTTGAGCTTTTTGCAAGAAGGGGGCTTCGCTTATCATTGAACAACAGTACAGTCATGATTAGATACCATCCATCCATCATCAGGTCGCTTTACGGAGTAGTATTATTTTTGGGGATATGTTTTTGACGCTGGCTCTTTCTCTCGCTGTTTTTGGCTTTCTCTTGATGCTGCGCATAGCAAGGCTTGTACATAATTATATATTGTGGTTGGTAATGGACGAACGGATTGATGAATGAGGCCCAGGGGGTAGATGATTGACGGAAGGGTGGATGGATGAGCGAGACAGTTTGATTGAGCATCGAAAATTGAACCTCATTCACTGCTTATTATTTATCAGGGATTTTTCGTGTTTTGCCTTCTTCCCTTTTCGTTACAAGGGGTGTTTGTCATGAAAACAAGCGTTTGGTGGTCTGGGAGTTTGGGGCGTTGGTGTTTGTGTTCTTGGGGGGCCTCATGGGTTGTGGTTGTTTGTTACCGTACGGTGGGCTACGAGATACCCACTGATAGTGAGATGGAGTACATAGGCGGTGACGCGCAATTATCTGGTTTATTTAATGAGGTAATGGTTATGATTATGATCATGATGGGAAAGTTGTGTTGCTTCATTAGTTAGCCCGGAAATTGCTAATTCATCGCGAAGTGGGCAGTGACTCCCTGTGTGTCTCTTTGGCCTGGTGGACGAGTTCATATATATGCATGGAATAATCGTGAACTGCTTGGGTCTTGCTTTCTCGATGCGTCCTGTTCGAACCCCATGGTTTAAGCCAGGTTTTCGGGGAATCTGTTAAAGTTGAGCTGCAGGATTCGGATTCAGGGGGAGGGCTAACGTTAGACCCTAACCCTGGACAGGCCCCTTTTCTATGAAAGCAAGTTGGCTTGCTCTTCGGGCACGAAGTAATAAGTTAGTCCACTTCCACACAGGTTTAAATGAATCTGAATACCGGATACGAGTTCATTAGGATGGAAGGAACCAACTCAGTAACTATCCCTACTGGGAACTATCCTTGCCTTGAGCCCCCGCAACTACACTACGTGGACGTCCTAGCTAATATCGCCCGCAAACCGGTGCGCTCCAAAAGTGAAGAACCCAAAACGCCTGCCCGTCCCTCCTCCCAATGAAAACGCCAAAAGTGTGCATATTCTGTAGCCTGTTGGAGGCAGCGAACATCATTGATCGGACAGGTGAAAACTCTCATTCCGAAAGAAGTAGGATAGTGCATGCCACGGTTCTCCATCTCTACACCATGCTGTCGTCCTGAACCCTTACCCCACCCCGCGTCCCTCGGCCCAGCCACCAGGTTCGCCTTGTAGGTTCCAACGGCTTCTAACCATCAAACTCAACACCAACGACCTTCCCTGTGTTGCCTCCCGCTCCTGCTCCCCCACTTCCTCCCCCCTGTGCCGTCGCTGAGGAGGACTCTCCGCTTCCATCTAACCCACCTAACTCACCCACCAAAGCCCCATCGCTTGCTTCGGCATCCGCCCCGGTCAATAAATCCCGATCAGAACTCAACACACTCCGACGCTCCGGATCCCCACGGTACGCTCCACCGAGACCGACAACCCCAACACCAGCGCCCGATTTCCCGCTCTTCGTCGACCCGCGATCAAACGCGGGGTCCTCGTCCTCATCATCCTCTTCATCATCCCCGGCCCCCGGTCTAGGCGGCTGCTGGCCGGGCAGGGCATTCTTCTCTAGCTCCTTCTGTGCCTCCTCCATACGCCGGCGCACTTCGGCCGCAACGCGCATGCCATCTGTGACGATATTGTCCAACACACCGCGCAGACCGCGGCCGGCACCACCAGCTAGGCCGGGGACACCGCCACTGACACCGCTGCCGGCCTGGCCGCCCAGGGCAGCACCGACAGCGCGGCCGGCGCCGAGGCCGATGCTAGAAAAGGTGGTGAGGGAGGATGCGCTGGTTGGCGTGGCGGTGGTGGCAAGGCCGTCGATGATGTGGAAGGAGGCCGGGAACGAGGTTTCGAAGAACTGCTCGAGGAGTTCGTCGGCGAGGACTACCATGCGGAACGTGGGGAGGGTGATGTGCAGCGGGTTAGACGGGTCGAGGGCGACGTTGGCTTTTTCGGATTGTGCTTTGGAGACGCGCCGGCGGCTGTCTGTGTCTTCGGTGGGTGCTAGCGTCGTTGAGTTGAGCTGGAGAGCCGGTGGGGATGTTGAGGGCTTCTTGGCTGCTGCCTTGGGGCTACCTGTGGGTGAATCCATGGCGAGAAGGTCGCCCTCGTCATCCTCATCATCCTCGTCGCTGTCGTCTTCATCCTCATCGTCGTCATCGCCGATAGCAAACGCATCAGGGTTAGCGAGTTCGTCGGCGGCCGAGCTCCCGAGCTGCGTGGACTCGAGCTTTTTCTGCACTTCTTGCACTGCGCTATCTTGGTTCTTGGGATGGTCTGGGTCGGCGTATTCGAAGCATCTCCTGATGAATGCACTGACGCTTCCAAGGAACCGCTCGCTTACGGGCTGGCCGGGCACATCGCCCTGGCTACCGTTCGCGGCGTCGGCGCCCAGCGCTAGAGAGGAATTTGATGGACTAAGTGTCCCTTCCAGCCCACGGCGAGACAAGAACAACAGGGCTTCCGACATGCGCAGGATGCCTTCGCGGTCAACCTTGCCATCTCCGTCATCGTCATGAAGCTCGAAGAAGTAGTTGATAGAGCCCATGATGTCGCGCTTGCCCTTGATCCGGGCCAAGCCAGACACAACCTTTTGCAGGGTGAGAGCGGACGAGGAGTCGGTATCCCATTTCTGGAACAATCTCTGGAGAAACTCGTGTTCTGCCGGTTCCGGACCCGCCCCCCACGGAGATAGGGGAGCATCAGACCGCCTGAAGCTGCCGTACAGGCCCTTGTCTTTGTCCGAAAACCCATCTCGTTGAGGCGTCGACGGCGCATCGGAGATGGCCCACTTGGACATGCCGGCCAAGAATTCGCGGAACGCATCGTAATCCATGAGGCTTGTGCTGGGCCCGAGGCCCACTCGGCCTTTCTCTACGCCATGTTCACTGTCGCGGGCCGCTTCAGCGATGCGCGACCGGCTGCTTTTAGCCCGTCTCGCCAGCTCTTGCTTTATGATATGGTCTCGTTGCTGCCTCTCGTACAGGACGGTGTAGAACCGATCGTACAGCGCGCCCAGCTCATCGTTATTGAGTAGTTTGCTATCCGGGCCCAGGTTCCGGATGGCTGTGCGCTTGGCAAAGTTCTCGATGTTGTTGAGCACGGCGTCCTTGTTCTTGAGCCGGAGCTCAGTGATGCTGCTGTGCGTGATCCCGGAGAACTCCTTAAAGGCAACAACCATGAGTTCCTGGAATTTGGTGACCGCCCGCAGCTTGGGGTTTTCAGATTTGGGGTGCGCAGATTCGTCTAGGCAAGCAAAGTAGGATTTAAGAACCGAGATGAAGGCACCGTCGTCTGCCGCGTCCAGCAGGTCTTCACCGTTGATCCTGAGAATAGCCAAGCCCACTTGGAAGAGGACCTTGGGGCCTTCGACGAAAAAGACATCCAAAACACGGAATGCGAACACCAGGGGCATCGAGTTGATGTACAACGATAAGAACCACGGAAGCGAAACAACGGATAACTGGACATCACTCTTAACAAGATGTTCCCACAAAATCGGCATCGTCTTCTCCACGAGGGACTCGAACACCTTTTGGTCGAGGAGTGTGCCGTACATAGTCGTCGAGTAGTAGCCCGGGACTAACCGGTCGCACAGGGCGGAGAGGAGGAAAAAGGCTTGGGCCTCAGACATGTAGATCAAGAGCGCCGCGACAACAATGTTCATGGCCTGGCAGTACCCGACATCGGCATTCACCCAGCTGTATGCTGTCAGCACTCGGCGGAGGCGGCCGATGCCTTCTTCGCTCTGGAAGCCCGGATATTCCGGCAAGCTGCGGTTGAGATCCTTCTCGATCTCGTCGATGGCCAGCGATTCTTGGCCTGAGAATTTCGTCAGGGTGTCCGCGTACAATGTCGGGTTTTCCAGCCTGAGATAGATGGACCCGGAGGTCAGCTCCCACATCTCTCCACGGAGACGATTTGGCAAGCCCACTCTGATGAGCTTGTGAAACGTAGGCTGGCGGATCAAGGTCGTGTTCCGTCCGTTATCCCTCAGATATTCAGCCCATAACCTCATTTTGGCCCTGTCGCGCAGCTTCTTCGGGTCGCCAGGGTATCTAAAGAGCAGGCCCAGGCCGGCGTCGGGCGGGGACGCATTCTTTTTGTCTTCGGGCCGGAGAAGGTATTCGGAATAGCACTCCGAGGTGACCTTTTTTAACTTGGTCACATTCCCGACGTTCGCCCTCAACCCCTTCTTGAGCCCATCGCAGAAACGTTCACAAGCTTGCCGGCTGCCTGCTAACTGGAGTGTTACCCGTTGCTCCTTCAAATCTTTCTTGTCTTTTTCTTTGGCTGCGTCCTGACTTATGCCGTTCCACGTCGAAATCGAGAGAGCAAACTGTGGTGACAGGGTTTTCTTGTCAGTCTGGCTTCCATATGCGCCGTCCGCCACGAGCCACCTTGTGTTCTTCTTCTTACCTGGAAATTTTGGCTGTGGAGCCGCTCAACCCTCCTGATGGAGGAAAGGGGAAAGGTGAAGCCATTACCGCTGGGTCCTCCGCCGTGTGTTTGGCCGGTGAAAACTGACGAGGTGGTGGTACTCGCCGACTGTAGGAAGCTGGATGGCGTGGTTGAAAACGATAAGAAAGCCTCTGATAGATGGAGCTTGCCAGCGTATTGGAATCCCCGGCCCCGGTCTCGGTCGCCTTGTGTCGCGTTTGCTGGTGGGATCGTGAGTTCCGCGGTGATCTCGTAGAGCGGATGCTGGGATGACGGAAGTCGGAACTGGTTCTGGAAGAGGGACGCCTTGGACGGGTTTCGATCGGATTCGGAGAGGTTCAATCCCTGCACCGGGTCAAGGAGTTGCTGGGCCTTTTGCACGAAGCTCGAGAACATCCTGAGTGAGCCGACCCGTGCAGGCTCGGCCTCAAATGACAGTCCCCCAAGGAGGAGATGTCGGCAAGAGGAGCGAGGAACGCAGCACCCGCGCGGGGGCGGAACGGGCTCTGCGAAGGGCAAGCAAGCTCAAGAGCGAGGCCTGATCCGCAAATCGGCGTTGGGATGTTGCGGATGATACGGACGATGGACAATCGAAGAGGGGGTAGATGGAGGATGTCGTTTCCGCGAAGTCGAACGGGGTTTGTCGGCGGTGTTTCAGAGTTGGATGAGGATGGCCTTCGTCGGGCGTAGGTACCTGAGGAAATGCGGGCGGATGGATGCAGACCAAAGTCTCGAAGCCCAAGTTACCAAGTGCCTGGGAGTGGATGCTGTGCTCACGAGGCAGCAGTAGCAGCGGAGCAGCGGTACAGCACCAAACAGCATCACCACTGAATGTGGGGCCGCTGTCCCAGGTTCAACGGGAGAGATCCCCGCCGCCACAAGGCCAAAGACAGAGACGCCCCGCTTCGCCAAGCCTAGTGGGCTCGCAGGTCTCATCACTCGGAAATATTACCTCGTGGTAACAAAAGGTTCTGAGTTGTCGTTGGCGCCTCCAAGCATCATTCAACCGGGTTGTTGTTGACGTGCATGTATCTGACATCTTAAGTGACCCGCCTCAAACACGATCTTCTTCATTAGGTCATTTTCCCCCCGCAGTGCAACACGATGCCGGTAGCCTGACTTGCATCAGGAGTGACCTCTGAGTCCCCCAAAATCAAGCCCAAATCATCACTTTAGGGTCATCGACGAAACAGCGTTAAGTTATGGAGCGCTGCCCTCTACATAGCAGTATGGACTTTCCCGTCCGGGCGACGGAAGTCTTGAAAGCGGAGTGGTTTGAGGGAAATTAACATTGACAACAACCCTCAACTTGAATCGATGGGTCTTGTAGGGTTCATGCTCATGTACTGGGTAATTACACTAGGAGGAGCATTTCGTATCTTTGCACTCGGCGTCACATTTGACCACCCCCTTTTGTTGGTCTTTGCACCGCCGGTTTCTAATATCACTCACGGGGCAGAAGTCCAGGGGCCTGTGTTGCGCCATGGTTGTAACCGGCCCGAGCCGTTTCGGGCAGAGTGTCTTCATTTTCTCGCTTTATGGCCGCTAATGTTATGACAGTATCGGCCCCGCGGCAGTTGAGGCTTTCGACTTTTTCTGGAGTATACAAAGTCCCAGCTTGTTGGAACCGGCTCGATCCCAGTGTATCACCAGCCTCTCGGGAACTGCAACCTGCTATCCTCTCTCGGCCCTGTTTTACCGGCTCTGCCATCCGTTGGTGTGTTAGCACAGCCCTGCCGGTGACCGCCTGTCAGCGGGCTTTCCTGGCCCGGGAACCCCAGCGGATTGGTTCCGGGTTTTGGCGATATTCCAGGGTCCGCCCGTCCTGCAGCGCCAACGTCATCCGCCGCTTCCTTCTGTGCAGGCACTTCGGGCTCCCCAGCGATTGGCGGGCATTCGCGCCTCCCCGATCGCTCTTTCTCAAACCCCTCCCCCCTGGCCCCCTGTCCCACGTTGTTAAACCCCGCGAGCCCCGACGGCCGATGAACCTGCCGTGGACTTGAACGACGCGGCAGTGCCCCGTTCGAATTCATCCAATCGTCCATGGTTCATTACCCGTCTGTCTCCTCCCCTCGCCATCAGCGTGCCAACTCCACCCGACCTCGGTTTATACCCCCGGCCCCTTGGAATGCCCGATCTCGATCTCATCTTCAGCTGCGATCCCGAGCCAGACCCATCCTACAAGTCTTCTGGCTTCTAATGTGTACGAATTACATACCTATTCTACCCGCTTCGTATTGCAAGCCCGGGGAGCTTCCGGCGCATCGCAGCCCCCTTTAATTTAAACACCCGCACGGCCTGTTAGAGATACCCTTGTAATTCCCTCGCCCACCAACAAACATCAAACCACGTGCAAGAAGTAACTATCACCAACACGCCATTGTCGGACCAACCGCCTAAGATATAAATCAGACATACCCTGCCCTACCCGGCCCATACGCCCGCCTTCCGCTTACACCGGCTACCTACGCACGCCTACACCCGTTCTCAAGTCCATCACCTCACGCAATGGCGGCCACGGTCGCGCAAACCCAGGCCATTCCGCCAGGGCTACATCCGCTGCAGGCAGCCGCTCTCCGGGCCGCTAACGGCGGGCAACAGCAGCCACAACACCAATCCCAACAACCACCAAATCGAAATTTCGACGACGAGCCTTTCGACGTGACGTCCAGGAAGCTTACCGTGGGTGACTTTGTGAGGGTCCGGACGTTAGGTACAGGTATGGAGACATGAAGCTCGTGTACATTCCAAAAGCCCGTTGGTGGTGGCTTACAAGCATGTGTTTGTCTAGGGACCTTTGCTCGTGTGTGCCTTGTCCGGCCATCACATGGGACCGAGGCCGATCGCAGCAAAGTGTACGCACTCAAGATTTTGCGCAAGACAGAGGGTAACTCAAATCCTTCCGAAACGTGGTACGAAGAGCCTGTGAACCTCGCTAACCAGCTACAGTGATCAAACTTAAGCAGATCGACCACGTGCGTCATGAGCGACAAATCCTCTACGATGTCAAAGATCACCCCTTCATCACACAATATGTTGCGTCCTTCTCCGACCACGACTTCCTCTACATCCTCCTCGACTATGTACCCGGCGGCGAGCTATTTACCTACCTACGCAAGTACCGCCGCTTTAATGAGGACATGGCGCGCTTTTACGCTGCTGAGATCGTGCTGATCCTCGAGCACTTGCACGAGCAACAAGGGGGGATAGCATACCGGGACATGAAGCCGGAAAACCTGCTGCTAGATGGCGAGGGCCACATCAAGCTCGTCGACTTTGGTTTCGCCAAGCGATTGGGGAACAACGAGTCCGGCCATCCCGTCGAGACCTACACGCTATGTGGGACACCAGAGTACCTCGCGCCGGAAGTGATCCATAACAAGGGCCACACCACCGCGGTCGACTGGTGGGCGTTAGGGATCCTCATTTACGAATTTCTCACCGGCTACCCGCCATTCTGGCACCAGAATCCCATCGAGATCTACAAGCAGTATGCCCTACCCCACCCACGATATCCTTTCCTTTTCTTCCCTCCCACACTAACTCCCATTTTCCTTTGCCCAGAATCGTCGAAAAGCCAATCATATTCCCTCAAGACCCCCATATCAGCGACGCCGCCAAGGACATCATCCGCCAGTTCTGCACGATCGACCGTTCCCGACGCCTGGGCAACATCCAAGGCGGCGCAGCCCAGGTGAAACGCCATCCTTTCTTCGCCGGTGTCGACTGGGACGCGATCTACCACAAGCGCCATCGTGGGCCCATCATCCCCCCAATCCGCTACCCGGGCGATGCGCAGTGCTTCGATATCTATCCGGAAGAGGACGCGTCGAAAGATGAGTACACGGAGGACTTGGTGGAGAAGTATGATGAGTACTTCAAGGACTTTTAATGGCCCGAGAGCGGGGCGGGGCTTGAAGAAGAGATCAGAATGGTGTTCCGCTGTTTAGGAAGTTTTGGTTATTTTTTCTCCTTTGTCTTCCATTTTAGTGCGGATACCCGGGTCGTTGTTGTTGGGATATGACAGAAAGCGGTCAGGAAACCTGCAGTTCGAGACACATTTGCAGTGTGCTTCTCGGGATAAACAGACGACGACATGCATCCAAGCTGAGTACGACCGAACATGACATGCCACGAAGCGTTGTCGATTCTCTCTCCTATTAGTTTGGGGCTGTGTGTGGGTTTTGGTCCAGAACTTAGAGCAGCGGGGCACAAAGCGAAGCAGGTTGGGCGTTTCCTTGGGAAATCACAGAATAAATTGGCCGGATGGATGGATTGGATCAGTTGGGTGGGCGGATGGGTGCATACATGTACGTGTGTGTACCTGCATATGCCCATGTGTACATTACGTGATACAGAAACTGGTTGCGTTCAGATGGGACTCGATAACGCGGAGGAGAAGTGTGCGCGCGGGTAGGCGCTTGGTTGCATACAGGGAGTGGGGAATGCGAAAGCGTTACGATGCATTGTTTATTAGTTATCGTTATGGTTGTATAACCCTATCGTGGGCAAATCCAGGGGTTTGTTTAGAACCAACGGGGATATTTGTCAAGAAAAGGTGTTGTTGGTGCTTGTGGGTTTGTAGTGCCTAGTAATTGGGGTGGTTTCTCGTAGACAGCGCAAACTACATACAGATTGGTAGAGAGGAATCATTTTGACCACATCACATTAGCGCTACTGCCATAAAGAACAGGTCTCTCGTGAATGTGTCCAATATATATGTTGCTATTGCTAGCTAGTTTATACTAGGGAGGGATGGGGACAACATCGCGGGCAGCATGGGTATAATGATAACCACGTCTATCCAAAAAGAAAAAGAAAACACCGCTTGGTAAATCGGAAATAAATACCAAAGGAACGTAACGTCTCGCCGGAGGAAGAAACGATCAAGAACCAAATCGAAAAATGTACCACAGCTGTGACATGTCATCAACCGGGTACTTGATCCTAAAACTCCGTAGTCGTATATATCCAACAACCCTCTCTATCAACGTCTCCCCCTTACCGAACCTGCATCAACCACCAACCCCCAACCCCCAACAACAAAGCCGTCGCCAGCACCATCACCCCCTCACGTGTGCTCCAAACAAAGGCCGTCCAACCCATGACCAACTCCTTGCGCCGGGCTGCGGCACGCCGTTCCCACGCGTGAACATCCACTGCCACGGGGAGTCGGAGGCGGGGGTCGATTAGTGTTGGTTTTGTGTTCGTGCCGTCTTCCGGTGGGAGGGAAGAAGAAGAAGAAGTAGTGGTGGCAGAGGAGAGAGCGTCAGGAGGTGGCCGCATCTCGTCGGCCCCGAGCAGGGGAACGGTGGCGCGGAAGAAGACAGGTCGGTGATCGCTGGTTGCGAGGACAGGGAAAGCGTTGTACGCGCTGACATCTACCCGCGCCTGGCTCTTGTCATTCCCGTCTGATGTGGCAGCCCCTGAGGCCCACGCCGGTACATCCAGATACAAGATGCGATCACACCAACTCGGCCACCGATGTGGCGCGAAGCGCCATGGTATGACCTCTGGCGGCTCCGGTATCCCGTTCTCGTCTCTCCTTCCATTATTGGCCGCCGCCGCCTTCGCAACCTCCTCTTGATTCGCAGCCCCCTCCTCCCCTGGCGAGAGTAGATCGAATTTGTACGTTGGCCCAAACGCAATCTCCGCTTCGGATAGGCCGTGGAGCACGCGGTTGGCCTGGCGCTCGCGCGTGAGCTGGTCGCGCGGGAGAAAGTGAGAGTAGTGGTCTGGAGCGGAGTGGTCGGCTTCGTCTGGGGACGGAAAAGTGGAGTTTGGTGGTGGGGTAGAGGAGTCGATGCGGTAGTTGAGGTCGCCTGCGACGAAAAGGTAGGAGGTAGGTTTGTAGACTGAGAGGTTGTGTAGCGCGGCCAGGGTCTGGGGGTGGGTCTGGTTGGCCGAGGTCGCGGGGTCGGTTTGGGGTAGAAGGGGCTGAGCATCGTCTTGGTCGGTGTCGTCTTCATCCTCGTCCTGTTCCTCCTCGCTTGGTTCAGGGCTCTCGCCGGTCGGGAGGCGGACGGGCGCGGGACCAGCACCAGTGCGATCTAGAGTGGGCGGGCCAGTGTACGCAGGGAAGACGCCCGGGAGCACGGAGCGTGGGTTGGAGAACGTCATGCCAGACACAATGGCGCGCCAGTTGGCGTTGCGTTTCTTGAGGTTCCATTCCATCGCCGCGAAGTGGGCGGCCACAAAAGTGAGCTCCGTCGTCTTGTTATCATGGCCGCTCCATGTTGCCCTCAGCCCGACAGCGCCTTTGTTCCCCATGTCCGCCGCTCCGAACCCGCACTCGCCGTCCTCAATCTGTACCACCGACGTTGGGTCGCGCGCATACATCAAAATGGCTGTCATGCCGACATTGTTGGCCCGCACTAGGGTATACGGCGACGAAGTTGGCCCTGTCGTCTTCGTTGTCCCCGCCAGACGATCACCATTTTCCGTGGCTGGAGGTACCCCATCAGCTTCGTCGTCCCTGTGTTGCGTTCCCCCGCGTAGCAGTTTCGCCGACGCGAGATTCAGAGCCTCTCCAAAGCGGGCGTAATAAGGGTTGAGGCAATAAGATCCGATGAAAGAGTACGACATCGGTGCTACTTCTTGGAGCGAGCTATCAGACAAAAAAGGGGGGTATAGGTCAGCATAAGAATAACAACGAGCAAGTTGACGTTACAACCCCTCGTCACGCGACCCCTTGCTCCTCTCGAGGCGTACATATTCCCAAACAAAAACCACGAGTAGTCAAACTTACAAAACAACCAAGTCTGGGAGCGGACTCCCCCCGGCAGTTCCATCTTGACCACCTACAGACCCAGCCGCGCTCGTCGCCGTGGCATTCCGCTGCTGCCCCTCCAAAGCCCCGTATAGATGCGCCGCAAACACAGGGGGGTCAATAAAGTTTTTGGCACAATTAAATGTTAACATAAACAAATCAAGGGTTGACGGCGGCGCCATGGTAGCGGCGGTGGGGGAGGCCGAAGAGGGAGCAGCAGGAAGTTG